ATACATATATACGTGTATATTTATATACATATATATCATTATATATATATATATATATACATATATATACATAACTCTCACCACCCCGCAGCAGCGAACACACCCAATGTCAAGCTGCGCCTGCAAAACTTCTACTTCCTCTCTATGCCCAATATCTCGATCGGGGTAAAATTTTGTTCAGAGTTATCAATATATAGCAGTAACACATACAAATAGATATATATTCCATTGTATTTATACATACATCTGTATTTTCTTCGCACCACCGACGATCTCTTACTCAGCTACCACGCTACTATCAACACCCCCACATCCTGCCCTCTAACCACAGCATCCGGTACACCCAACGACAAGCTACGCCTGTACATCATATATTTCCTCACGACACCCAACATCCCAAGCGCGGTGGAGCAAGAGTGTGAAACGTCCCTGGAGGCGTTGGGAGCGGACCTGTCGTGTTTGCGATACTTAAGGCAGTAAGTATATGGATTGTGTGCGCATATGAAGCTAAACCTCTAAGACCCTAGAACTGGTGTGCGGCTGTGTTCTGTTATTCATGCGGCTGTGTTATGTTATCCTTGCGGCTGTTATGTTATCCTTGGTATGTATCTTTGTCCAGAGACGGCTACAAACCATGCACACTTAAAACCCTGCTCTATCGGTTAGGTTCCTGGTGGAGTTCTAATACTATCTTATGTGTTGTGAGTTCATGTGTGTTTCCGTGATTGTGTCCTGAGGAAGACTCCCATAATTCCTAAAACCCAATGAGACTGGTGCGTCGTGCTACAAACCCTAACCCTAACGCTTTGCCCTCTCACCCAGATAGAAGAAGCCAGATCTGGCACACAGACACAATATTACTATTCCAAAGCAATTGGTCTGTTCACTACCAGTCTATGAATAGAATTAAACCTACTCCGCACTCTCATCCAATCAGAATGAAGCAAGTTAGTCAAATGGCCGATTTCAGTGGCGGTGCGGCTGCTGAGGAGAAGCAGTCGGCGCAAGCGTCCGCATTCTCCTTCCTGTCGAAGAGAGTTCTTGAACAAGGTGCGTGTGTCCTTTTTTCTGTCGAAGGGGGTTTTTGTCCAAGGTGTGTGTCCCATTTTCTGTAGAAAAGGGTTCTGAACAAAGAGCGTTTGCCCCCATTTCCTGTCGAAGAAGGTTTTTGAACAAGGTGCGTGTCCTTTTTGGTCGCGACATGGTCGCTTCCATCTCTCACTCTATCCGGTTTGTGCAGAAATTAGGATATGAATGTGTATGCCGCCCACCTACTACTCCCTACACGCTTGTCATCTGCACCACCCCGCTTGTAATCCGGGACAGTGCCGTCGATCACTCTGACGTACCTATCACACATGCCTAGTGAGCAAGACCCTATGTGGAGGCTCCGCTTATCAATCACTATATGCACAGTCTAAGATCACATTCGAAGTGTGTTTATGACTGACCTCTGTATCACCATCCATGTCTCCCTTCACGGACATACCAAGTCCTGAACCCAAATACCTTATTTTGAACCCATCAACCCAAATATCTGATTTTGGACCCCTTGTTTTCCGGACAGGTTCCGAACTGTTAAAGCAAGGTGTTAAGACCTTTATCCCCCCCTCCACTAAGCTGCCAATCACCAGGATAGTCGAGTATGTGAATAAGACGTCACTTGATTGACTGGGTTGTATCCCAGCTGTTGTATGTGTTACCATAGCAACATATGTTGTGTGGGTTACCATAGTAACATCTGTAGGGCTCTCAATCGCCCATTTTATATCGTAAATGTGGTTATGTATATAACTTATATGCGGCGGAGTTCTGTTGTATTATAGTTCTACTCGGAAGAATGTAGTTGTGTATATAACTTATAAATGTGGTCGTGTATATAACTTCTAAATGTGGTTGTGTATATAACTTATGAATGTGGTTGTGTATATAACTTATAAATGTGGTTGTGTATATAGCTTATAAATGTGATTGTGTATATAACTTATAAATGTGGTTGTGTATATAGCTTATAAATGTGGTTGTGTATATAGCTTATAAACGTGGTTGTGTATATAGCTTATAGATGTGGTTGTGTATATAACTTATATATGCGGCGGAGTTCTGTTGTATTTTACCGCTACTCGGAAGTATGTGATTGTGTATATAACTTATATATGCGGCGGAGTTCTGTTGTATTTTACCGCTACTCGGAAGTATGTGATTGTGTATATAACTTCAAAATGTGGTTGTGTATATAACTTATATATGCGGTTGAGTTCGGTAGTATTATACTGCTAATTGGGAGAATGTGGTTGTGTATATAACTTATGAATGTGGTTGTGTATATAACTTATGAATGTGGTTGTGTATATAACTTATGAATGTGGTTGTGTATATAACTTATAAATGTGGTTGTGTATACAACATAGATGTGGTTGTGTATACAACTTACATATGCGGCGGATTTCTGTTGTATTATACCGCTACTCAGATGAGCCGGTGTGAGTCCTAAGACTTTTGTCTGATGGTCGCCACTAGAGGGTTTAGGGTTTAGTCGCCACTTCAAGCCCAATACTAGCGATTTAGTCGGTCGTGCATTGATTACGTCTTTGTTGTCAATAGCGCAGCGGTATGTCTGGGTATCGTGTGCTCATACACTATTTCCTCACATACATATGCACTATTTCCTCATATACATGTACACTATTTTCTCACGTACTCAACTGTTTTCTCACATACATGTAAAGTATTTTGTCACTTACATATACATTATTTTCGCATATACTTAACTGTTTTCTTACATACATATTAAGTATTTTCTCACTTACATATACATTTTTCTGTCACATACGTATGCACTATTTTCGCACATGCGCATACACATCTTCATCAAGCACCAACAGACCTCTACCTCACGCCTATACGATGGCATATTCAACACCCACACACTATCTATACCCGCATATACCGTGTACTATGGTCGCCATTGTTACCATTGCCATGTTCAAAAGCAAAACGCCGTATTCACGCTTGTGCACTGATCCTCATCACAAAAAGTCTGATCTCAGACGCAGACACTCGGTTTTTGTACTTCTGTACGGTTTGTTGTCTGCGCACACGGAACGCTATGCCCTATTACGGCATCATACGCTCTCACGCATCCAATACAGTCGCACACACCGGCAAGATTAATATGCACCTATGCACACCTATCTCATAGCCATGCAGTATAGAAGCGTTGTTGCCTAGCAACCACTAACCCACAGAATACAGCTCAGAATGATTCGCGTGCATTCACTGGTTATTCCCATAATTTCTATTTTTGTCTCATACTTGAGGACTATTACCACTATCTCATATCCCTTGTCAATGGGCTGACACACTCAGTACAAGAAACAGACAGACACAGATGAGGAAACTCGGATACTATCAATTCGTAGACCTCAAACTAACGCGACAAAGCTATTACTACAAGGACTATTACCACTGACTCACATACAGTGTCAATGGGCTGACACACACAGTACAAAAACAGACAGAGACAGACGAGGAAACTCGAATACTATCAATACGTAGACCTCAAACTAATGTGACAAAGCTATTACTACAAGGACTATTACCACTGACTCACATCCCTTGTCAATGGGCTGACACACACAGTACACGAAACAGACAGGCAAATGAAGAAACTCGGATACTATCAATCCGTAGACCTCAAACTACCGAGACAAAGCTATTACTACAAGGACTATTACCACTGACTCACATACAGTGTCAATGGGCGAATACACACAGTACAAGAAACAGACAGAGACAGACGAGGAAACTCGGATACTATCAATCCGTAGACCTCGAATTAACGCGACAATGCGTCAGCAAATGTACGCACAACAACGCGTCCATCACTCGCAACAACACTATCACTGTCGCAACTTAATAATATACCAAACCCAGCACACTATGATTACACACCCAGCACAAAAAAACTCCAAGTCCGCTGTTGTACAAATATCTCGCACTTGTCAACTCACACAAGTTCAATTGTTACACCTGCGCACAGTGCAATAATGCAACAGAAATCAGAGAAGGAAATCGAGGACTACCGATACTTTGACCCCAAACTACTGCGACAAGGCGACATTGTGAAAACGAGAACAATATTCTCAGAAGCCATTGTGTTCATGGTGGGAGGGGGCAACTACGTTGAATTCCACAATCTCAAGGAGTATCAGAAGGTATGCGTTCTAAACACTCCAGATGTGCACCTATTCACAGTCGTGTAGAGGACATCTATCAAAGCAATAAGGAACAATAAGTGTGGGATTTTGATACGGTTGTGACTGTTTGATACTTCTGCTTTTAGTAGTTTCCGATCGTACTTCGCCCTGTACTGGCGTGACGCCTAACTTTATAGCCTATCAATCAATGAGGTTTACTTTGATAGTTATTATTATTATTGTAAATACGTCTTAGCATGTGAGACGCCTGGCCACCATTGATACTTCATTGTGTGCTGCTGTTCATGAATGGCTGGCTGCAATATCACGTTTGATATCAAGAATACATATTCAGTAATCATCAATTATTGAACGTTCTCCTAGTATCCCGTCGCAGTTCTTTGTACCGAGTAGCTATACACTATCTCATATAGCCTATGTACATTTCCCAAGTCCCATGTAATTCGCAGGGGTTTAATCAGGCGATCCCATGTCAACATCGATGATTTTTGTTTCGTTTAAGTTTGATGAGTCTCCATTACATAGTCATTTGCACCCGAATGTCGTTGGTGCCAAATCTGACGCTTTTGTATCGCCTTTTCGAATGCTCACAGAGGTCACAGACACCCAGCCACATTACATACGGAGCCACAACCCTGTTCTCTGCGGAAGACTTTTTGGTCGAGTTGAATGCACTCGGCAGAGGGGGTCAGGCACTGGCATGAGGGCCGAAACTGCCAAATGCGTATAATATTTGGACCGAACTCCCAAAGAAATTGTATCTATCTAACATAGGATGATTTAAAGGATTAGGATATCACCAACAGATTGTATCTTTACTATTTCTGAGTTTGTTTCTCTTTATTTCCGATTAATAGATGTATTCAAATTGCATTAGCGTGAGATGCATTACATCAAGTCTCGCAAAGTCTTGCTTACTTGCAGCAATGAGAAGTGCCACATTTGATTGTTTTAGGGTTTT